CAGTGCTCTGATCAAGTCTCGTTTAATGGCGGTAATGCAATGCCTTATATACACTTGGAGGGGAAGGGGTTGGGCCAGAGGCGGAGATGATCTCATCGCAGAGGGCGTGACCAAGTAGGTATTGGTTTCTCTGGTCGAAAGTCATGTTGCGCCTGCGCTACAAAGTAACAATTTTCGCGGGCGTGGGAAAAGTGAGCTGAAGAAGAAGCAGGAAGAGCGCCATCTTGTGTGAGGTATTAATACAGGGAGAAAGGTAAATCTAGGGAGGAGGTAGAAGGTGGAAATGAATAGAGCTCAGGCGTTTTTAATCGTCAGTTATTATTCGCTATGGCCGGGGCGCGCAGCTCCGGACAGGATGCGAGTGGAGGTTCTATGGTTCGGGGTCAATGCCCCCCTCCTTTGCTGCTGGGGGGCATCATTGGTCCCTTGAGGCAATCAGGGACCCTCTCTGAAGCCTCAGGTGTGATCTGAGGATGAGGGGTGCACCCATGTAGTGTCCTGGGGATCGGGGCCAACTGCTTGTGCAGCTTCTTGGTTCCCTGTGACCCTGCTCCGGCCCATCCCAGGAGACCGGTGCACCTGCGTCTTCTCACTGCTGGGCCTATCTTCCTAATGACTTAAAGGGTGAGGAGCCCACCGTGTGATGGGCAGCTCTGAGGCTGTGTGGTCACTGCCCTCCCATAGCTGGAGGCCCATCTCCACCAGGGCCCAGAACCACACTTGGAGCCACTTTTAAGTGAGGGGATTTTGCTGCTGTGAGTGGCACAGCCTTGCTTCTGAGCACTAGGGGACCCTGTTGTGATTCTGCGGTTGGCAATTGCCGTGAAATCCACATAGCACCTTTTCCAACCACACATGCCTCTGGGATCTTAGGGACTCCAGGGTCAAATAGCCATATTGGTAGGTCCAGTAACACCCCTTATGAGAGTGTGTATGGCTGCATCCCAGCTACAAGAGCAGAGTTGAATAGTGACAGGGGAGGTCATATGACCAGCACAACCTACAATAGTTACTACATTAACTACAAACACTATCCATTCCTGGTACAAATCCAGGAAATGTGAAATTATCATCGAATGAACCCAGCACATCCCTCTAAGCTGGACCTGACACAGGTGTCCGTCTGTTACTTTGCCCTAAATGCACCTCATGAGTAATAGGGGAGCAAGTTAATGCTTCAGGTCCCTGGGAGAAGGTCAGACCACACACTGTTCACCAGGAATGTCTGGGTATTTGCTGTTTCATGGTGTACACTTACCAGAGTGAATGCCTATCTGGCTCTGTGAGAGAGTCTGAAGGAGTCATTGCAGTTGCTGTGAGGTTGAAGGAGCCCACCAGGGCCTCTGGACTCTCCTTTTAGTAATGGACTCTGGGACTGAGATGTGGCTCCGTTCTCAAAGCTGGGCAAAGGAGCTCAGTTATTTCCTGGGGTGACTCCTTTCAGCCTCCAGGTCATCCATCCTTGCGTTTTATCTTTGTTTGCTGTAATTATTTAACTCTAGCAGTATCCGGGTTGAGTTTCCATTTCTTTTGGATCTTTGACTCCTTTGTTCTATGAGCCATGGGCACACCTTCCTATGGCTGAGGGCCCCAGCTAGCACTGTGACTTCTTTAATTATTTCCATCATTGCACCCTCCTTCCTCCTGACAGTTGACGGCCTCCAATTGAGATCTCTTATTTCAGGATTTTCCATCACCATTACTACTGGGGAGCCCATTTCAGGAAGAGCATTTCCTACCCCCAATCCCGGCCTTCAGCAACAGGCATCCCTGGGCTTCCTGACAGTCTGCTGCCTTATCCCAGGGCCTTCTTTATATGCTGAGTACACAGGAGTCCTCCAGGCATCCCATGAGCCCAGAGGATGGACATCGTTCTGGATTTTCATACTGCAGCCACTCTGGCATGGGAGCTTCTCTGAGCCTTTTGGTTCTTTCCCCTATACCCTGAATTAGAAGTTCTGGGTTTTCAACTTCTTGCCCTGTGAACCATCCCTTTCCAAGGTTCCAGGAATTCATGCTTATAGCAGATGGGCGACTTCACCAGGGCTTTGCCAACGTATTAAATCCTGTGACCCGTGACAATAATCACTTGCTTATCAAAACTGAATTCTGCCCTCACCGCCCCCCCCTCCCCCCACTGTGCTGGAGCATCCCAGGGCAGCTCCCACACCCTCTCCCACCTCCTGCAGTCCACATGGACTGCTGCTGAGGGTCCTCCTCATCCAGGCCTTTTCCTGCCACAGCAGGCCTGGCACCTCCATGACAAGGTCATGTGCTGACCAACGTGGGCACAGAGCAGGTGGGACATGTCTGGAGGGGACATGTGGTTTCATGGCCGAAGGAACCTTCACCTCCATGTACTCAAGCAAGGGAGACGCTCTACTCATTAGCTAGTTTTCACGACAGTCCTGGCTGGCACATCTTGCTCTACCAGCCCAGCTCCTCAGAGGTATTTACTTGCAGTCACCATAAGGGGGAGGAGGGGATTTAGGTTCCACTTCCCCCCACACCAACCCCCTCCTGTGTTTTTCTTCCATAGACACACACTGTCTTTGCTATGACTTCATCATCACTCCTAAGTTCAGACCTGAACCACAATGGTGTGAAGTTCAAGGCCTGGTGGATGAAAGGCCTTTTCTTCACTATGACTGTGTTAACCACAAGGCCAAAGCCTTTGCTTCTCTGGGGAAGAAAGTCAATGTCACAAAAACCTGGGAAAAACAAACTGAAACACTAGGAGACGTGGTGGATTTCCTCAAAGGGCAACTGCCTGACATTCAAGTGGAGAATTTAATGCCCATTGGTAAGTTTAAAATGGCCCAGGGAGCAGTCACAGTAGTAACTTAGAGGCATTTATTGGTTTCATGCAAAAAATAAACCAGAAGTTTGTGTCACACAAGAGGCTGAGAAGCATGGGCAGGATGCAGCAGAGAGAGCAAGTCCAGGAGCCAGGAAAGGAAGCAGGGCGGGGCTCAGGACTTGTCAAGATCAGAGCTGATCTCTTTCCAATGGGGCAGAGCCCCTCATTCTGCAGGCCCGGATGTCTTGTGAGCACGAAGCCCATGGACACGGCAGAGGATCTTGGCAGTTCCTCTTCAATGGACAGACGTTCCTCCTCTTTGACTCAAACAACAGAAAGTGGACAGCGCTTCAACCTGGAGCCAAGAAGATGAAAGAGAAGTGGGAGAAGAACATGGAGGTGACCACGTTCTTCCAGAAGATTTCAATGGGGGATTGTAAGACATGGCTTGAAGAATTTTTGATGTACTGGGAACAAATGCTGGATCCAACAAGTAAGTGAGAGGGGAAAAAAGGAAGCTGTCTTGAGTTCGTATATTATCAGCCCAGTGTGTGAGTGTGTGTGAGTGCATGTGTGAGTGATTGAGTGAGTATAAACATGACCCCCTCATGAGAGGCTCCTCCTGGGTGTGCTCGCATGCCTGTGCTGTCTCATCCTCCTCTGCCTTCTTCCTCCTGACTCCTCTTCCTCCCTGCACTTGCTTGTGCTCCACCCACTGTGCATTTCTCACCAACTTGGAATCTGTGGGTGTCATAGTGTTTCCATATCTTTTTCATTAGTGTTCCTTTCTCCTAGAATCGCCTTTTCTTTCCTCTTCCCTCGTCTGTTTCTGTAAATCCATCAAAATCACCTCCAATGCCAGGGCCCAAGACCCTCCCCTCCCTGGCCTTGGGGCATCACCTCCTCTTCCGCCAGAGCAGGAGGGTGGACTGTGCTGTCACCTTGCTTCCCTCAGCAGCCGTGTGAGCTCCCGGAGGACAGGGGACACCCCCTTTTCCTTCCTACCACAGGACCTGTCCCAGAGGTTGCCCCACAGCAAAGGAGGACAAAAGGTCTGCCTTCTAGGATGACCTGGGGTGGCAGGAGCTGAGGAGGCATCTCCTAAGATTTGGGGCCTGGACAAGGGTTGTCACTCCTGTGTTTCCATTTCAGAACCACCCACTGTGGCCCAAGGCACAACCCACCCCAAAGCCATGGCCACCACCCTCATTCCCTGGAGCCTCCTCCTCATCATCCTCCTCTGCTTCATTCTAGCTGGCAGCTGAGGAGAGTTGTTTAGATTGACAGGTAATGTGGGCAATATTGGGAGGGGAGCAAGGGGCAGATGGGTGAGATGGGAGGATGTGGAAGGAGAATTCCCAGAGTCCCAGAGGCCGGGAACTTCTCATCCTGACATGAGACAGATGAATGAGACCTGGTGTCGCCTGTTGGCAATGACCTGGGCAGCTCAACCTTGAGTTCTGATAGAGTCTCACTGTCAGAGGCCAGAGGGAAAGGGAGGGGCCCATACCAAGGCTTAAGGCATATTGAGCTTGAGAGAGTTCAGCCAGTTCAGGCCTGTTTCAGAGCAGGTTCCTATTTGGGAAGGGTAGCGGTATGTGGCCTGCAGGCAGCAGGAACCCAGGCGTGGGCAGTCCGCACAGTAGGAGAGGAGCAGCATGACCACTTCACCTAGGATGTCAAGAGAAAGGGTGTCCCTGGAGAAGGCTACAAAGAGAGTGATCTGGGAGAATCCCAGGACGAGGGGGCTGTGAGGGCCTTGGCCCACCCAATTCCAAAGGCTGCATTCCCAGAGAAAGCAGCTCAGGTCCCAGCAGTTAAGGTAGAAGGTGAAGAGTGGAGCATGTCCGGACTGAGGTTCAAGAAAAGGCCAGGCCCGTTGGACCCATGGGATTCCTGGCCGGGTCCTGGGGCGATGCCCCTGCCATTCTGCCTCCTGCACACTCCAGATCCTGAGCCAGCTGATGGCCCTGCCTGGAGCAGAGTGGACTCGGGCAGGGCAGCTGAGCTGCTGCTGGAGTTCCATGCCCACCACTGAACTTGGTTAGGAGTGAATGGGGTGGGGCAGGGGCAGTCCCATTCAAAGCTATGGGTGCAGCTCCCAGGGAGAGGAGAGGTTGAGAGCAAAGGGGAAAGAAGGAGGTTTGCCTGCAAGCCCACCCAAGGCCAGGGAACACGGATACAAAGACCTCTCTTTGGACAGGGCTCCCCCAGGTCCTCTAGACCCCTCCGTGAGAAGGGGTAGCAGGCCCTCCCTGGGGATGCACAACCCTCATTACCAGCCTCAATTCTGAGCCCTCATGTGCTGTAACAGGACCTGGGCTGGCTCTGTGGTGTGGTGAAGGAGGGTGGAGGTTGGGACAGGCTGCAGAGCCAAGGGTAGGTTTGGAGGGAAAAACATGTTCCTTATTTGGGGGAGAGGCTCCGAAATGGGGAAGGCCTGGAAGGGATCACCCAGAACAACAGACCCAGGTTTTTCTCAGCCACTTAAACCAACACTTCATCTTTTCTGAAGGTGGAAGATGATATTAAGAAGCCTCTGTTAGCCTGTTCTGGTTCCTGCTCTCCCTTCAGGGAGGTCGCCTGTCTACTCACCACTGTGCCTTTCTGGAAAGCAGGAGTGCAAGCCTTAGCAAGCCCACAGGCCCCCAGGAGATGATGAGGACGTTGTAGACTCAGCATCTCATGCCACTCATTACCTTTGCTGATGATCCTAGCAGCCATTTTTCTTAACGTCTTCTGCCACTTTCTCTCAGTGCTAATGGATGGAATTCCTGCACAAGTTTTAACTGAACAAGAAATCCCAGCAAAACGCATTTTCTTTCTACTTCTTTGATTGTGGAAAAGCAGACACTTCTCTGAAGCATGACCTTATTCTTCCAAACAGTATCGCTAGTAAAATAGCATGCTGGACTTTAGACCTCAGGGATCCTTTCCATGCAGTGACCAAAAATTGTGATAATCCTTTTTATTTTTATGGCTTCTTACAGTTTCTCATTCTGTCAACCATATTGGAGTGAAGTAGTGTCATATGCATCACTCACTGTAATCTCCATCTCCTGGGCTCAAGTGATCCTCTAGACTCAGCCTCTAGAATAGACTACAGGCACACGCCACCAGGCGGGCGGTCAAGTTGTTTTATTTTTAGGTGTAGAGATAGGGTTCTTCCTAGTTGCCAGGATGGTCTTTCAATCTGGTCTTAAAGCGCATCCTTCCACCTTGGACCTCCAATGTCTGAGATTACAGATGAACCCACGTGGCTTGTTGGTTAGAATTTTTAATTTATTTAATATGAAATTATTACATTCATGATTATTTTATTTTAGTATAAGAATAGAGGAGCCCCAGAAAATAAACCTGCACACTTAACCCGGCATCTTATCTTCAACATAAATGAGCATTGTGGGAAAGATTCCTTATTGAAATTATGTTTGCTGGATTTTGGGCCAGCCCATATGCAGAAGAAGGAAAACTGAGCCCCCTGCTTCTCCCCATATATGTTAAATAACTCAATATGGATGAAAGATTTAATGTAAGTACTAAAACTAAAAATCCTGGAACATAACCTAAGAAATACCAATGCAGACATAGCGCCTGGCAAAGATTTCATGAAGAAAACAAAAAAAACAAGAACAACAACAAAAATGGACAAGTGGGACCTCATTAAACTAAAGAAATCTGCACAGAAAAAGAAACAAGCAACACACTAAATAGACAGCCTGTAGAATGGGGGAAACTATTTGCAAAGTATGCATCTGACAAAGGTCCAATATCCGGAATCTACAAGGAACTTAAACAATTGAACAAGCAAGAAGAAAAAAACCCAATTAAAATTGGGCAAAGACATGAACAGACACTTTTCAAAAGAAGACCTACAAATTGGCCAAGAAACATGAAAAAGTGCTCAATATCACTAATCATCAGATAAGTGCAAATCACAACTGCAATGAGTTACCGTCTCTAACCAGTTACAACGTCGGAGATGTTGGTGAGGCTGCAGAGAAAAGGAAATAGACACTGTTGGTGGGAAAGCAAACGTGTTCAGCCACTATGGAAAGCAGTTTGGAGATTCCTCCAAGAACTTAAAATAGAACTACCATTCTACCCAGCAATCCCACTACTCGGAATATATCCACAGGAAAAGAATTCATTTTATCAAAAAGACAAATGCACCAATATGTTCACTGCAGTGCTATTCTCACTAGCAAGGACACAGAATCAGAATCTAAGTGCCCAGGAACAGTGAATTGAATGAAAAAAAATGTGGTACATAGACACCATGGAAATCTATGCAGCCACGAAACACAGCAAAATCATGTCCTTTTCAGCAACATGGATGGAACTAGAGGGTATTATCCTAAGCAACCTAATGCAAGAACAGAAAACCACATACTGCATGTTCCCATTTGAAAGTGGCAGCTAAACACTGAATTCACATGAACCACAGATGCTGGAAATGACCAGACCGGAGAGAGACAAGGATCACCTGGCCTGAAAAAACACCTGTTAGGTACCATGCTTACTGTTTAGGTGATGGGATCATTGGGACACCAAGCCTCAGCCTCCCAAAATCCACCCATGTGAAAAACCTGTTTATGTACCTTTCATTTTATAGGTTGAAATTAAAGATGAATACATAAAATAAAATGACGCAAGGCCAAAAACAAATGGGGTTAACTGACCAAAGTGAGAGAACTCTGCACTATGAACCCAAACCCAGCTCAAAAAGATAAACTCTAGTCACTTAAAATAATCGTAAGTCGTATGATGATAATTGTATAAAAATTTGTATGATGATAATTGTATAATAATTATATGCAAAAGTGCCAAAACCCTAAAATTAAACACTCCATAATGGAATTACAGTTGATTTCCATCTTGTTCTTTATACCCTTACTTTTTTTTCCATTTTCAAGTGACATTTTTGTTTATCCTCAGGAAATCCTTGCTGTCGGCCTTCTCCTTCTGCACCCACCACCTCCTTTTCCACTGTCATCCTCAGCCCTTCCTCTGGTCTGGGACTGTGGCTTCCTTGGCACTGAAGGCCCAAGAGCTGCATTCAGCCTCGACAGAGAGGATGATGTAGGGCCAGTTGTAGAGGTGCTCTCGGCATTGCAGAGGAACCTAACAGCTCGAGCCCTCTATTGCAGACAGCTGCGTTTCTCCATCAGGTTAACTACAACCAAGCCAGCCTTGCCTTTTTCCTCGTTTTTTTTCTAGTACTTCCGAACTCGTACTTGAAAATTTATATTCTTCCTCCTAACATTTCTTTTTACTTCTTGTTTGCACAGTACATCCTGATTTATTATGCCCAGAAAACACTGGATTCACCATGTCACTGACAGCTGCAAGGCCACAGTCTCTACTTGCTGGAAGAGCACGTGGGGTTTGGAGCCCTTCAAAAGCCCCAGCCCCAGAGAACTCTATTTGGCCTGTCTGGAACACCCTGGATAAGCCTAATTCATTGGGCTTGTCATTGTTTGACCTGCTGAGGTCTCTTTCTAGGGAAAACCCAGATTCTCAAAGCATTGGCTAAAAGCTATCATTGCAACTGTGCAACCCCACCATATGCACTTAGAGTATGGAGAAAATATGTGCAAATTATATACCTGGTAAGGGACTGGTATCCCGAACATATAAAGCACTCTTACAACTCAATATTGTAAAGAGAAATAATGCAATACAAATATGTGGAAAGGTTTTGAATGAACATTTCTCTGGAGAAGTATATGTTGGCCACTAAGCTCATCAAAAGAGGCTCAACATCCATAGCCATTAGAGAAATGCAAATCACAGCCACAAGAAGATGCCACCTCACACCTAGTAGGATGGCTGTCATCATAATCACAGTGAAGACATGGAGAGACTGGATCCTTCATCCCTGCCAGAGGCAGAGCGCAGGGAGCTGGAGTCGGGGTGGAGTGTGGATGAGAGTGTGGCCTGGGGGGTTCTGATGGTGGCCAGTGGATTGGATTAAGGGATGCCTAGGTGGCTGGTAATGTATTCTTTCTGGGCATGTCTGTCAGGGTGTTGCAAGAGGAGAATGACATTTGAGTCGAGGGACTGGGAGATGAAGACCCCCATCAGTGTGGGCGGATATCACACCATGGGCTGCCAGCTGGGCTAGAAGAGAGCAGGCAGGAGAGGGTGGGGTGACCCTGTGGGCGGAGCTCTCTGGCTTCTCTCTGTCTTCCCTGGGGGTTCTTGCTTCCTTCCTCCTTGGACATCAGACTGCAGGTTCTTTTGCCTTAGGGCTCTGGGACTTGCACCAGCAGTTTCACATTTCCGGGGGCTCTGGGAGCTTTGGTGGGGGCTGAAGTCTGCCCTGTGGGCTTCCCCGGTATTGAGGCTTTCAGACTTGGACTGGCCTTTACTGGCTTCCCTCTTCCCCAGTTTGCAGACGGTCTACCATTGGACTTCACCTTGAAATCCTGTATGCCAATTCTCCCTAATAAACTCATATATATATATATACACACACACACACACACACACTCTGATGTATATATAGACACACACTCATATATATATACACTCAGTACATACATATATTCTTATATATGTATGTACTCATTTACATACACACACACGTGTCCTATTGGTGCAGTCACTCTGGGGAACCCTGAGTAACCCGGGGTGTGGGGGTTGTCCCTGTGTCACCCTCTCCCCATTTTCGGGACGGGGGCTTCTCCTTGTTCTCCTGCCACCTGCTGCTTCTTCCCTTTCTCCCATCTTCTCTCTGAACCTATCTTTTTCATACGTCCGGGCTTTTCTCAGCCTCAGGACGTCCGTCCTGGAAGGGGCCTCAGCCCAGCAGAGTAACCAGGACCCCTGGACCGCAGGCGACGGGGTCGGGGAGGGGACGAAAAGAAGCTCCTGGCCAGACCCATGGACCCAAAGTACAGGGGGAAGTTCAAAGGCAGGGAGCCCTGGAAATGCTGGAGGGTTTGTGTGGTGGAGGGCCGGTGAGAACAGAGCATCTCTGTCTGGGATGTCTGTGCTGCCGTTTCCGCGAGATCCCCACCCTCACCTCTGGTCATGCCTGTGTCCTAGTAGTTCAGGCTGTTTCCGCCCCAGGGCGCAGTGGAGGGGCCGGCCTCACTAGAGAGTCCCTCTGTGCCCTCCGGGCCCCCTCCAATCCTCTCGTCCCTCCCATCCTCCTGCTGTTATAGGATATAAGAAAGAAATCATTTAGGTAGATAGGGTTAAAAGAGTCTCAGGCAAAAAATTTTCCTTCTATCAAAAATCAGCTCAGAAATTGCTCCCTTTCTAACCTCAAGCAGTTCAAAGAAATCGCTTGTCTTCTAACAAAGAGCAGCCTAAAAGATCAGTAAAACACAGATAAGCAACTCGGGTACAGAACCACCCCCTGCGAGGGCGCCGCCCACCAGCAGCCTCAAGCAGTCAGGCAGGGGATCCGCGCTGGAGCCTCGCTGTGGGAGCCCCAAGGACCCCAGCTGTAAGGTCACTTCTCCGCAGCAGCCCCGTGTAAAGTCCTCCCCGCCCCCCGCACCAGGCTGCAGGAGGAAACCACCAGCTGTCTCTGATTTCCCATTTCCTCAAGCCTGGAGACAAACATTGTCCCCTGAGGCGATGGGTGGAGTCCTCACACGTCTTCCAAAGGCGGTTCCGCCCCGCGGGTATCCGCCGGGCGCCGGGTGCCTCCGGGTGGGACATCGGTGGCAGCCGGGCGCCACCTGTGGGGCATCACTCAGGCAGGACCCGGCCTGAGCTCGAGCGTTGCAGGCGCCACGGGAGGAGCGCGCGGAACCCGGAAGAACTAGGCGGAGCGAAACTGAAACCACCCGCAACGAACTTTGACGAAAGCCTTTTGCAGCTGAAATCCGCAAATGCCTTTAATATCCTCCCTGAGGCGCGCAAGAGACAAAAATGACTTTAGAGCGACCCCGACCCTATTTTACCACCCACAGACACACAAAAACGAACACAGCAAAAGTAGAAAACCCAATCCCTGTGCTCTTTATGAAACAGGCATTTAAGAGCAGAAACAAGCAGTGCTCAAGTGGGAGGAAATATTTGCAAAACAATGAAGTGAAATGATCTCCTGGGAAAGGTGGGAAGCAGGAGAAAGGCGGAGTGAAACGACAGGGAGTTTCTCAGCGCTTCGGCTCCACCCGGGAGACCAAAGCCCCGGACGGCTCAGCGGGAGGCTCAGATGTTTCCCCCGCGCGGTATCCTCTGTATTCCGTCGCCAAGTACGGGTCCCAAAGGCGCTGGCTGAGAGCCCCACGTTCCTTCGTTGCATCCTGGCTCTGCTTCTGCTGCGGGACTGTCCCTGGACCGCACAGGCCGGTGAGTTCCAGGAATGGGTTGAAGAAAGCGGAGAGGGCGTCGGGGAGGACGGATTTCATACTGTGCCACGCCTTTCTCAATTCCCCGCGCAGGACTCCTTCTGCCCCTGTTGAGTCCCTGGGGTTGCTTTTCCCCGCCTGAGAAAATAGAGTGGCAGAAACGAGGCCAGAAACTGAGGGGAGTAAAACAACTCGTTGTCTGGGATAAATGCCAAGGTTCTTGGTCTCGCGGCCGAGGAAATCAAGGGTGGAGACGAACACCCACGGAGTGAGATTGGAG